GTTTGGAGAGATCTCGGTCTTGTTCGAGGAATTCCCAGCTCTCTCGGATCTGTTCGCTGGCTGACGTAGGTGTGGAGGCGGTAATAGTCCGCAGTTGTTGCAGTAGGCGCAGTTGGAGTGATGCTCTTTTGAGCGTTCTGAAGTCATATGCTTCAAGATCGAGCTGATGAGCGTCTTGAAGCCGGAGGTCTGAGGGGAAGTACTTCTTGCCTTGCCAGTTCTCCTCTGTCATTTGTGGAGGCAGCTGTAGAAGGTTCCGTTGATGTGCCGGGGTAAACTCAGATCGCAGTAGTACTTTGGCTTGCTCCAGAGTTCGGAGCAGGATTGCATTCAGCTCTTGCTGCGAGAACCTCCTGATGAGATAATTCCAGGCTAGTGTGCAAGCTTGATTCGCATCGAACGTACGAAAGGACGGTGAGCCATCTCCGTCATTTGTGTAGTTTCGGATCATGAGGGAGAGGTATATAATTTGTTGGCGCTGGAGGGACCCCATGTATGGGGGCAGCTGCGCTGTAGGCAGCTCCTCGTCATTGTGCTTGCGCTTGCCTGCAAGGTTCGTGGCCAGGCTTCAAGGGGCAAGTCAGCGTGCCTTCCCTCGCGCCAGGCCAGGTGCCTATCCAGCTGACAAATAAAGCTGCAGAGCCGTGATGCCACTCTCATGCTCCGTTCTGCCATAGGTTCAAGTTCTTCTGTAGTAAAGGTGAGCCTCCTCGGTGCGAGGTGCGTATCGGCGAAGGTCGAAGTGGCCGTCTGCTCATGGATGCCGCCAGGTAAGTAAATTGTAGTTGGCACGTGAAGCGACTCCATCAGAATTTCGAGCAGAACCTCGCGAGATAGTGATGGCATGGCAGGTTTGTTGACCGGGAGGAGACCTCACGTGGTCAGTTGATGTTAGGTATGCTGAGCCCGGCTGCGGCGGTCAACTATCAAAGCAGAAAGCTGCAGCCTTCAGTGTTTGTGCGTAGGAACTAGGCAGAGCTGAGGCATTGGCACTGCATCATGTATTAACCTCAGATTGTGACATGAGAGAGTTGATCTGTAGTTGGAGCATGTCACGATCCACTTCTGGGCATTTTAGGCTATCAGTATTGATGGCCATCTTTTCCCTGATGAGGGCGCACTTGTTTGCGTCTCTTCCAAGGTTATGTGGCTAAGGAAGAGGTGAGGAGGCGACTAGCCAGGAGGAGACCTCACTAGGCTGGTGGCGTTGGCGCTGTAGCCAGAAAACCCGCTGCCGTGAGCAGAGCATGTCGGAATACCGCCCTCCTCTGTGGTGACAACATTTTAAAGGCCAGGATCCAAGGGACAACCTGGTCAATGACTGCGTTCTCCAGGGGGGAAAGAATTGCGAGCAGTCTGGCCTGTGCTCTGGGGTCACGGGGAGAGTAGAATTCGATTTGTCCCTTGAGCTGGAGGGTTAGATGTGTTTTACCAAGGCTTTCAGGTACTATGGTATTCTGCCAGAGCACCTCTAGTGAGACAAGGTCAGCCGCAGTCATGGGGCGCACCAGCCAGGCCCTGCCCAAGCTGAGGTCGGCTATCATCTGCTGGTAGTCCTCATGGGGGAGCAGGTCGTTGACCTCCGTCAAGTGTTCAGCGTAGGAAAGGAGTTCCAGGGCTTGGTCTTGGCGCAAGATATCCCAGGACTCCAGCAGCGGAGTGTCTGCGCTTGTAGCGGTTCCCTTGGCCGCAGCTTCCTTTGCCTTCACCATTGCTTGGGCCCGGTAGATCCGGGAGGCGCGTTTGAGCATCTGAATTTCGGCATCCAGGATTCCGAGAGCATTGTCATCTTCTAGGCCAGCATATGGGTTGGAGGCCTCTTCATGGGGCCACTGTGAGCCCTCTGACGGAAAGAGACAAATAGGCATTCCGTTCATGACTCTGGTAGAGATGCTCGGAAAGATCCATCGGAGATGTTGGGCTGCCCCGTTGATGATGTCCTGCTCTACTCGGCGGTCCATCCCCAGATTGTGTATGGTCTGGGACACAATAAGGGCCGATAGTTTAAAGTCATCAGGTTCCATGACTTCCTCGGCCGTATAAATATGCACGGTCTCCAGGATCATCTGTAGGGTCATGGAGCGACGCTCTGCTGCGTAGTGTGACACATGCGAAGGAACTGGTTGATCAGATTCCAGCAAAGCTATTTCCGCTGCAGCCAGGAGTGGAAGGTTTGGTTGAGCTTCCTAGCTGGGATAGAAGCCGAATCCAACTAAAGCTCCGTGCTGCAAGTCTTGTGGAGGGAGCGAGCGCGCATCCATCTTGCCTAGCCAATCTTCTGGCCTCGTCCGAGATGAAGAGATTTGCATCCGGATCGGATTCACGCTGGCCCGTGCTCAGCATAGCCTTGCAGAACAGATTCAAGGCGGTGAGCTTGGACTGCGTTGGCATGGTAGAAGAATCTGGCTGCAAAGGAAGGCCACAGCACTGAGGGAGCATGGTTGGCTCCTCTTGTTTAGGGGGCGTTTGGCTAGCAGTAGGAGGAGACCTCTCTCTCTGCTTGTGAGCCTAGAGCGGGCGGCAGGCGCAGCGTCCAACTTGAAGCATCCACAGGGCAACAAGAATAAAGTCGTAGAGTCTGAGAGGCTGACTGCTCGGCTGGATTAAAAATTTGTCGCCTTGGTGCCACAGCTGATTGCTTAGGGTATAGAATTGCACGCTGGAGAGGTGTATTCGGGCTGCGCTTGTGTAAAGAGGCTTTTTATGTCCGAGAGATGAACAGGTGAAAAGCCTGCCTCGACGGCACTCCCTTGTAGGAGGAGACCTCACTCGCAAGGGGTGCTGATGGGCTAAGAAGTAGAGTGCTGTACAGTCGCTCAGTCTGATGGCTCTCGTCGCGGGACAAGGAGGCCTTCGGTAATGATCCAGGTCTGGACTGTGCCTGGCGGTAGTGTAGTTCCGTTGGCGGACAATATCGAAGTTCGCGCTGGAGGAGTCCATGGGCTGAACGGGTTGGTGCCAGGGAGACAATCGGCCCTGGGGTTATGATCCACGTTCCCACCAGCGTAGGATTCTGCGCTGGCCGTGTCGGAACTGTGTTGGGGGAGGGCATCGAAGTTCCCGACGTGGAAGTTCCACTCGTAGATGACGGACGGGTCGAATCCCTATGGCTTCGTCGTGGCATCGTTGTCGGGATGTGGCCCGAAGCTGGAGGGTCCAGCGGACCAAAAGACTGGTTTGCCGGCGTCGGGGGAGGGGGGAGGGTCCTGCTGGTTGATGAGCCTGCGAGTAGGAAGAGGCGGACCTCCTGGAGCCGTATGGGCCACCGGAGCTCGGGACGATGCAGTTCTGCGCGAAGAGGTTCTGGAGATAGATTCCACCAGATCATCTTCATCCTTCAGCGAGGACGCGTCGGAGTCCAGGTCGGCCTCAGTGAGTGGTCGCTGGGTATCAGCTTCTTTGTGTCGCCTGCCATGGGAATGTCTTCGCTTGGAGGGCTTGTCGTCCTTTGCTCTAGCGCTTGAGGGCTGTTGCGTGCCTTCAGGTGACGACATGGCGCAGGAGTCAGACGCGAACAGAGGAGACCTCACTTGTCCTGTGTACAGGATGGCAGCTGCTTGAGTGCATAAAAGCACGGACATACAGGTAGAATGCTGCAGGGCGAGGGAAGTATACCTCTAACTTATAAGTGCGTCAGTTTGAGGCAGGGACGGAATTGGCAGGTTCGTCCTAATGATCTTTGGAAGACCTGGGCAGTGCAAGAATTGAAAGTAACAAGGCCAAGGGCGCTTGTGAGTCATGTTGCAATTTGAAGAGCAAGTGAACTTTAAAGGTGGGTTTTTCTGAAGAGCGCTGCGTGCCATGGTCTGTACATAAATGGACCTTGCCCACAGGAGGAGACCTCACTCGCCGGATTCGTCCATATCTGGTGATTCATCTTCAGGAGTCGCCGCAGGCCATACACAAGTACCCTAGGACTGACTTCTTGCATTCTCTGGATAGCCAATGTAGTGCTAAAGGAAATTGATCTCGGCCCTGCCAGTAGCGCTGGCGAGAGCAGGATAGCTATCGCCTGTTGAGCCGTGAGGTGGTAGCGAACAATCAAGTAAGCACAGAGAGCAGAGGTGGAGCGATTGATGCCTGCGAGGCAGTAAAATAGATTACCTAAAGGCCTTGTGCGGCTGCACTCCTGGGCCCCAATGTCATCGATCATCTTGATCCAGCTCCGTGCCAAATCGGCTACCACCTCATGGAATCCCTGGTCGATGCGCGAAATGCGTGTGTCCGAAAGGTGGTAGCGCAGATTGTGGATGCCCTCCATCTGGTACATGAACTTCCAGTCAGCGTCCGATGCATAGCTCTCCTTGAAGCGTGAGGAGGCATTGAGCGTGACTACTACGTCGACTTGGTGTGCTCTCAGCTCTGGGATATCAAGTGCGGTACGCTGCGTGCCAAGAAGAAGCGAGCAGTAATCGTCTCTAAACACCACTGTGGAATCCCATGGTGGCCAGTAGGCAACGGAGTTGGGGAAGGAGTGTTCCGGATGAGCAGTCATGAGGGCACTCCACTCTGCGGCTAGTCTGTGGTCCTGCGTGGTCCAATGCGTCCGGTTGTAGTAGGCCTCCTGAACATGTGCGTGGATGTCGTCCATGGCTTTTTCATCCGTGAAGGATGGTACAAAGCTGCATTGTGGTTCCGGGTCCAGCATCCGGAAAAGCCCGTTGCGCTCCAAGTAGAGGCCATGTGGTGGACCCCGTAGTCGAGCGAATGGGGCAGCTAGGTCCATGGCTGATTGATACGCGTGAGCGCTCTGTGGCTGCAAGGTGAGAGTGGGGGCGCCAGGAGGAGACCTCACGCGGCTTGAGCTTGCAGCTAAGCATTGAGATGAGCACGAAGATTCATGCCGTGAGCCGGAAGGAATGCAACTACTGTACTAGTTGCGTACAAACCAAAAACAAAACTACCAACAACTAATCAGTACCCTCAACCCCCTAAAGAGGAGAGAGCACTTAGGCTCTCCCCCCTTTTAAACGCGCGTGAGATGTAAAACGGCAGCCTCA